TTCACAGAAATAGAAAAAGCAATCCTAACATTCATATGGAACAACAAAAGACCCTGAATAGACAAAGAAATCCTGAACAAAAACGGTAAAGCTAGACGCATTAGACTTCCTGACCTAAAGGTAGTCAGTCAAAATGCAGCCAATTTCTTGCCTGTCAAAATTGAATAGTTAGATGGAAAATAATCATTTTCTCATACTTGGTGAAAACATAAGATCTTCAGACTAAAATGAGTGTATATGTGGCAGAGGACAGCATATGGGCAAATACATAACCATAAACTATAAGAACTACAAAACAGAGAGAAAGAGAATAAAAACCAAACAAATAAAAAACTACCAGTGGAGTCCATCCAGCATGGTCTTTAACATTTGGGTCGCTTCCATTTTGTAAGAGGTATTCAACAGATGGTATGTCACCCTAGTAGAACAATGAAAAAATAAGAAGAAATGAAAAAGCATTAAGAAAAGAAAGGAAGATATTGAGGGCTTTTATTTATTTTTTTTAAGATGCCATCTTCTTCAGGATAAAGTAAAACAAATTTTTCTCTTATACCTGTTACCCATGAGCGAATAACAAATATTCTGAGGTACCGAGTCGTAGGATCTATCCTTAAATTATAGAGTACAAAATCTCTATCAGCAACTTATTTTCAAAATTCATTTCAAGATACCAAACAAAGGATATTGTTCAAAGATCATCTGATCATAATGAAGCTTTTGATGTCATCATTTCTTTTGTGAAAAAAATCCTTTTTGAGCACAGATGGAAACGGTTTTTGAATATTGTTTAAAACACACAAAATCATTTAAAGCCAAGGGGACTTCCTAAGTAAAACCCATGTTAAAACTGACAAAAACTTTTCTTATTGGCAGTTACTCTACTTATCCTAATACATTAACTGTTTATATTTGCCTTACTTACTCAAAGGTATTGTCTAGGCAGAAGTAGTTGCTCTGTTTGAAATGGCAGAAAAGGGATCAGTATAAACCTGTTCAAAATGACCCATGGAATCCGCATTTAGCAATTGATGCAACTTATTCTGAAAAGGGCTGAATAAATAAAAGTTACACATGACAAAAGTTGTACAATGTTATATTCAATTAGTTTTGTAATGTGCTTCTTTCAGGAGAAAGAAATCTATCCTCTCCCACCCCCAGCCTCAATACTCTTTTCTGAAATGACTTTTTTCCTCTATTGGTATAATCACATAGAAGTCATTAAGATCTCAAAATACATTAACATTTGTTTTCATTTGCCTTTTCCTTTTCTTTTCTATTTTTATTTATTTCTATTTCCATGTTTTGGGCTACTTCCCAAAATCTTAAGATGGTACCTTACAATTTTCTAAAAACATAAATCCAAATGCAACATATATTTTTATGTTCCCAAATTCAAAAAATGACCTTAAATATTTATTGGGACTAAAAGTACTACATATGTTTCAAATCA